CGAACCAGGATAAAAATAGTTGTGTTCGTTCATTTTTATGTTATAAGTTAACTTGGTCTTTCATCAGCGAAAAGATTTAAACTTATATTTGGTGAAACCCAATTCAAACCCCCTTTTTTGGTGTTTCCCACACCTTCAATTGGCATCAGAGCTCTGTTCTAGTATTGATAGTTATCAAACCCTTAACCATGTCAAAAATAAAGATCCAGTCGATTTTTTATTTGAAGAAACACAATGGTTGAACCCACAACAACTAACGCTGCTTCAGATTCAAACTATAAAAGCTACAATGTAAAACCTCCCATCTTTGATTGTGAAAAGTTTGAATACTAGAAAGATAGACTAGAAAGATTTTTTCTAGGTCATGATGTTGATCTTTGGGATATGCTAGTTGATGGCTACGTACCTTGTAACACCCTATTTCCCCAAGAGTAACTTTTATAAAAATCAGAGTAAAATAAAACTCCAAAATAGGATGTCACATCGTTCAACATATTCAAATTTTCTCAGTTAAGATAAGACAAATACATAACACACATTTCGGATGAACTGACAACATTTCAACATAATCTTCAAACTTCAACTTTATTAACGCATCATAAAGAATTTCATAATTATTCTAAAATCCTCAACCATTATAAAATTCATAATTTATTGAATTAAAAGAGAGTCAACAACACTCTCAAAATCCTCAAAAAGACATCAATTAAATAAAACAATCGAGCGTTCATCCCCCGGTGTTATGTATCAGAGAATGACACCCATTCAATAAGAGAAAGCATCCTCTTCTAGACTCTGCGACTTTGCACTACTCTTGGCTATCTGCACGTTACCCACGTGGAGGCAACATTCAAACAGTAAGGGTGAGATATCATGACAATATAATAAGTCATATAATCATGAGTAACAACAAGTATATCATGCAAGATTTCGAGTCCCACAATAATCAATTATAATTTATAACGATTACACGGATACATACTTAATTATCATCACCCATCATACGACATAAATCAAACATACAACTCAACTTCATCGAATATCAACAATTCAAAAAATGCAATGCGATTGACACTGATGCAAGATACATGTGGTACCATCAGGGCATAAGACCTAAACAAATTTCCATATATGCTAAGGCATAAGCCCTCAATAATTTCCAATACAGGCTAGGGAATAAGCCCTCAACATTTTCCATAAAGGCCAGGGCATAAGCCCTTAACATTTTCCATAAGGGCAGGGCATAAGCCCTCAACAATGCATGAAATGCGACATGCCACAACCAAAATTACATTTATTGTGTTCTTGTATTTCTGACTTCACATACTCTTTACATTTCATGCTCACGTTTTTTGAAATATAGAACGAACACAACAAATGAGATGCATTTGGGAACACAGATTCCATGGCATTCATCAATGCAAGTTCTCGGTCTGTCACCACAACCTCGGGTAGTAAATTCTATGAAGATAATAACTCTTTGACCTTCTCCAGTGCCTATGTGAAATTCTCCTCCCCTTCATGTTCTAAATATGCAAAGACAACTAAAAATATCAACTTCGTTGATGTAATACCAATAATCTCAAGCAGTGGTATCCGGTATCTGCACGATTAAAATGCACATAACCAAGCAACTCATTCAACATCTACAATAATTTTTAGAATGTGAAAAGTAAATTTCTTACCCATTTGTCTTGTACGTGCAATTAAAAACTAACACCAGATGAAACATATTCAATAACTTCACAGAATTGGGATGTGTCTAGAAGATTTCTGCAATAACATCTGAGTTGTCCCTATTTCTAGTCCAACATGTGTAATTCTCATTATGAATAAGGCTCAATAAAATTTGCATTTTTGTCAATGTACCTATCTTGCTTATTTTGTATGTTGACCTAGCTTTATACACCTGAGTAATACTCGTTAAGTTTTCTGGATCTTAGAGCCATATTGTACTTTGTTATGTCATTCACAAACTTTATTTCATGATCTTTTAGACGACCCAATATATCATGGCCTTCCAAACCCATATATATCCTATGATTGTGCATCCCGCATCTAAGCATCACCTTCCATACTATAAATGCCATCAGACAAATTAGTTGTTTTAGATGCATTTTTTCTTTTTGTAATTTCCTCCTCCCTCACAACCCATAATTAATTTATCCTTTCTCCATCGCATTCCATAAGCATAATCGAAATAAACACTAACAACAATAATACCATGTTATTTACCAGTAGAATGTGCCCATACTAAAACTTCATATCAGGATTTAAAAATCTGTCAATTACAACATATAATTACTAAACTATCAATTTCATAAAGGACAAAAAATAATTAAAACTTCATTAGTTCAATAGGAAACATATGGTATCTGTGGTGAAGAACTCTGTAAAATTGATATAAGAATCCATAGAAGAAGCTTTCAGCTCTGGGCCATACAAATAAAGAATTTTATCTGCAGCCATACCAGAAATTTTAAGTTTATGCAAAATTTTCAGTAAATATGTTTCATCCAAGAAATTTCATAAACTTCCGGTATGTTTATTTAGTTTCTTGATATTCATAAAAAATTCAAAATTTCCGGTAAACCGCCTTCAAAAATTTAAAATTTACGGTAAACAACCATCAGAAATTTTTAACACGCAAATAATTTCCAGTAAAAGGCGCAATTTAATAACGAAAATTTCATCCTGGGTACCGAAAATTTCAATTTTCAACCCTTGACCAATAGTAATTTTTTTTTACAAATGTAATTTTTTAGAGGTAAATAGTATAAAGGGCATTTTTTTAATTAAAAAATTTAGGGGGTGTCAGGTATAATTTGGGGGTGACAAGTAAAATCCTTGAACAAAAGCCTGGGGCAGCTTGAATATTTCGGAGGCCTTGTTGGAATTTTAAAAATATGATTTTTCATACAAAATAATAATATATATATTTTAATACATTAAAATAATAAATAATTTATATTTTAAAAAATAACATATTCTTTTATGAAAAATAATAGATTAAGCTAAATACAAAACTACAATATATTTTATCATAAAAATATCACAATAATTGAATTGATCGTATAAAATTTCTTTAAATTTTTAATAATGTCATTGTTAAAAGGTTATTACTTAAAAAATTAATTAAAAAAAGTTAGACTAATATTAAAAGTTTATGGACGAAAATAACAAATATTTATTATCATAACCTCTATTAAAAATACACAAAAATCATGTGTGGAGTTTGACTAAGACTTTGTTTTTATAGATTTAAAAAAAATATATTTAATGAGAATTTTATAAAAATATTAGAAGTTATTTTTAATCATTTTTATAATTAAAAAAAGAATTTTGACATTTAATTACTCACATATTTATAATTAAATATTTTTTAAAACAATATATCTCAAAAATGATTTTTTAATACAAATTAATTTAAGATAACATTAAATTTAAGTGATATTTTAAAACCTAAAAAATTATAATATAATAATAAAACATTTAAAATAACATTAACAAAATTAATTATCATTAACTTTCTATATTTCTCACGTGTTTAGAGAGAGAAACTCCCACTTCTCTAGAAACTTAGCATGACTTTCCCTTTCCTATTCGTTCTAGGGTTTGAAAGGTTTTTTCCTCACCAGAAATTTCTGGCTTCTTCCCCAATTTTTGTTGTTGATTCAATCTCTTCTCTAGTAGTAGGTATTTGCTCTGTTCTGACTCAGTAAGCCCCAGGAGATCCTGGGTCATGGAAAATGGAAAGATTTCTCCTTATCAAAGGAGGAAGAAGAGGGTGTTACGGCAGGCATGGAAGAGGTTGGAGGAGAGGAGATTTTTCAACATAGGCTAGCAGGGAAGTTGTGGTCTGATAACAGCTTCAACTCACGGGCGTTTATAAACACGATGATAAGTTTCTGGAAGATCAAAAACCTGGTGGAAATCCAGAAGCTCAATAAGAATATGTTCTTGTTCAGGTTTTCCACAAAGAGAGATCTAGAAAATATGTTGAGGAACGGTCCTTGGAGCTTTGATATGAACATTTTGGTTCTAGAACGAGTTTCAAGATAGGAGCAACCATCGGCTCTTAACATGAATTTTAGCAGCTTTTGGGTCAGAGTGTATGAGTTATCTCTAATGCTTCAAACTGAGGCAATGGCGAGGAAGCTGGGAGGGATATTAGGTATTTTTGAGGAAGTGGATCAAAGGGATGCTCACTGAGATGGGAGATTCCTCCGTATCAAGGTGATTGTTGATCTTAAACAACCTCTGAAAAAGGGAACGGTGGTGTGTTTCAAAGACAAGAACATGAAAGTCTTCTTCAAATATGAGAGATTACTGAAGTTCTGCTTTATCTGCAGAAGATTGGGCCATTAACTTAAGGACTGTGAAACGATGGGGGACCTAAGTGAGAAAGGTTTTGAAGAACTGGAGGAACAAGATCTTTCATATGGAGTTTGGTTAAGAGTGTCACCTTTACCAAGATTACAAGATGAACATAGGAAAAAGATTCAAATTCGAGTTCCTCCAGCAAATCCCTTTTCAACATATCTTCAGGGCAAAGCAAGTGTGATACTAGAGGCAAGGAAAAAGATGGAGAATGGGAGGTTAACCAAAACAAAGAATTAGCAAGTGGCAACAAGCAGGAGATGTTTCAATAATAAAGGAGGCCCCATCGAATAATAATATATTGGAGATGGAAGTGGTTGTTGAATCCCTAGGGGAGATATCTCAAACATGGGGAGAGGAACCGGTATAAACCCATAGAACACAGTTGTGAATAGAAACAAATGGACAAGGAAAATGAGATCAAGAAAGGAAAATCCCAACAAAGGAAAGAAACTGGAATTGTAAATAGGGAAGAGATAACTTGTTGATGTGATGATAATGGAAGGGGATGTAGAAGGATGTCGCACTGGAGAAAAGAAGAGGAAGAGACACGGAATCGAGAAGGAAAGTCCGGATACCGTACCAGAGGTGGTGTTGGAGACCCATCACCATCTAGACCAATGAAAATTATAAGCTGGAATTGTGGGGGATTGGGGAACTCCTGGGAAGTTCTAGCCTTACTGAGGCTCAATCGCATTGAAAACCCCAATTTGGTGTTTCTTATGGAGACACGGTTAAAAGGAGATGAATTCCAAAACATTAAAAGAATGAGTGGTTTTGAAGGCTGTCTAATGGTGTATTGCAGGGGTGCTGAAAAAGAAAGAGTAGGCAATTTGGATCTCTTGTGGAAAGAAGGTATTCTGCTTAGTATCAACTCTTATTGTCTCAATCACATAGGGGGTTCTGTAAATGATGAGAGTGACCAACATGAGTGGTTTTTTAGCGGTATCTACGGGAATTCTGAAGAGAATAACATAAGGAAAATATGGATATTACTTCTGTATTTGGCAAGAAGAGGTGGGGAAAGATTTGTTTGTTTTAGGGACCTAAATGATGTGCTTTGCAAGAGTGAGAAATTAGAAGGTAATAGCAGAACTCAGGGCCAGTTCTCTTTGGGGAGGCATATTATGGAACCATGTGGATTGATTGATCTTGGATTTGAAGGTGAGATACGGTGGCAGAACTGACTGTTAATACTGGTTTTGCGTTTGTGTTTGCAAATGTTGCAGTAAGCAAGAGTCGCCACCGACTTTTCTTTTATCCAACAAAGGAAAGGGTGAAAAGAACAGAAAAAGACCTTTTTCGAGAGTTTTCTGAGTAAGGGGGGTAGATTATGGAAAGGGAAGGTGTTAGCACCCTTTCCATCCATGGTTTTCCATGGGCTCTTAGGTACTTGCTCATTTTCTAAAATTGCTTGTGTTTGTGTGTTTTGAAAAGCTTTGAAAATGCCTTAGTGCGGCGATTCGCTTTATGCTAACCCTTGTATCAGTCCTCAAGAGTGTGATAAAGCGTTTTGAAAACTTTGTTTGAAAAGTGTTTGAAAGTGTGGTGTGTAAAAAGAATTGTTTGAGCAAGTACCTAACAGTTATCTACCTACTCGAAAAAAGTTTGTTCTTTTCCTCCTATCCTTTAGACAGTGTTATCCTACTATTAGTGAGTAGGTAGCCCTAGTCGTTGGATGCTTGAGGGACTATCAAATGGGACGCATGGTCACTAAGGAAGCAGGGCAAGATCTCTTAGTAATTGTCCTAAAGACCTAAGATCACTTTTATACCGAGGCAACAGTCGAGAGGGTCATTGAGGGACTAGTGATCTCTAGACTTAAGGACAATCACTAAAAATTCTCATGTTTCGAGAATTGTGATCATAATTCAAAGGCAATCGAGTGAGGTATATCCTAAGAGTGCAAGTGTGCAGCAGTGTACTTTTTTCAGATATTTCATCTTGCGCAATTAGGGTTATCTAGGTTCAATTAATCATTATCTTTCAGGAAACCTTATTAAACATTCATCTAAACATTTTATCAAGCGGGAAAATAAATGGCGGAAAGATAAAGTTCCTAATTATTACAAGGCTTTGGTGCAATTACATAATTATTGACTGAAAAGTAAAAATGCAGAATTGAAAAAAAAACCTAATTAAGCTATTACAAACCAAGCGCAGTTACATCAATAATGAAAATTAATCATACGGCAAAAATAATTACGCGTGAGAATTAATTGGAAAGAAGGTTCAAAAACCCTAAAAATCTAATTTGATTATTAAAAATATTTTGGGATTTTATTAGAAAAAGAATTGAATTTTGACCTAATTTTTCCTAATTAATTTTAATTAATGAAACAAAATTAAAGTTAATTAAAATTATTAATTTGTAAAAAATTAATTTATTAAAAATAAAACTAAATCCTTTTTTTTTGTGATTATTTGACTTTATGATTTTTTTATGAAAAAAATTGATTAGTAAAAAAAATAATTAAACTAAATAATGATAATAAATAAACAAAAACTAGAAAAGATTAGAAATTAGGCCTGAGGGGGGTGTAGGCTTAGATTGGAGGGTGTTATTGCTGAATTCTGCCAAGCCCAAGTCTGGTTGGCCCACAGCAAGCGTTGAATTCAATGGGAAGCTTGCTGGGATGTCCACTATGGAGATGCAGCCTGGAAGCGTGAGATCTGGCCAAGGAACGATCCAAGGGTAATGATCTGGAGATCTATGGTGTGCGCGCTTGGAATGAAGGTATGGAATCTGCAAATAAGTGTTAAGAAAAATAACATGTAGGAGGCAGGGGTCGAACCCCTGACCTCCCACACGCAACACCTTATGACCCTTCCTTCTTACCACTGAGACGCTTGGTTATTTGTTATAAAAATACAAATAATATATTATATAACATAATGAGTCAGTGGTGTAATAAAACGCGTGTGAGATTCAAACTGTCCAACCAGGTTTGGACACGCCATCATCTTCTCCAAAGGAACTATCGTTTTAGACAGGACTTTTACCTACGGACATATGTTGTAACTATAAACCTGCAAACCTCAAAAATTAACACCAGGCGATATAAATCAAATCTAATTACATAGATCAACTAGGCTTGATCTCTTGAGTGCAATGATGTTCATCTTTGGCCCTGATTTTTCCTGAAACGAAAAGCCCTAAAACGAACCTCTAAACCCTAACAATGGCATATCACACATCCTGCATCTAAACACGAATTCAACTATACATAAACTTTCTATGCATCCATACAAACACAAATATGCAATCAAAACAAATTAATAATGTAAGAATCCACGGATACAAATTTGAAAAAAATGTAGCAAACCGTGATGATGTAGGTGATGATTCTTGGAGCTTTGGCATCCGGGAGTGATGCTACTAGCTTCAGAGTACCTCCAGCAATCGATTGCAAGCCCCGGGATGCCTTGAATCCCTCTGCAACTATGAATCCGATTGGCAATTTTTTGTGAAAATTTTGGAACTTTTCTGGACTTGTGGAGGCAGTTTTTTCGTTCCCTTTGACTTAGGGTTCTTGTGTTTATGTAGTGTATCTCATTAGGGTTGAAAATGTCGAAATAATCCAATGATTTCATGAGAAGATATCCTCCTTTCAATTATGTGATTTTTGCTTATTTTGGAACAAATCCAATCTTTTCCTTCCTCCAAAATTTTGCTTTTTATTTTCCAACATGTTTTGATGATTATTCGATAAGGAAAAGATTTAAAAATCACATCTTACATATTTTCTATTATTTCTTTATTTAATTTTGAATTTTAATGAATAAATAATCAAAATAAATAATAAAAATAATGTAATAATATATGAGTGAGCTCAAGGTTCGTGGGCCATGTTAGGAACAAGTTGCAAGCATGAAAACATGGGCCCATTGGGAAAAAATTCAAGTTAGGTCAATATTAGCTTCATGCACATTTCCAAAAATGGGTCAATTTTAGCAATGCAGATCTTTCTCATTTTTAACCCTAAGAGACTGTTCTTGGACTTTTTAGAAAGCTTATGATGTCCTCTAAACAATCCTTTTAGTCTCATCTTAATTGGATCTTCCATGTTCATGTAAGGAGCTTTGACCCGAAAGGTGTTTTTGTTGACTTTTTGAATGAACCTATAATGTCTGAGATTATATCTTTTGATTGAGGCATTTCTTGAACTTGAGGGCTGAAGAGAAATTGTAGGGAATTGGATACTATTTAAAATGAGACTTGGTTGGAAAATTTCTGATAAAGTATGAGAAAGTTATGCCTGGTCAAAGTTTAGTTGACTTTTCCTATAGAAACCCTAATTTGCCTTTTTTGACTTTTGATGAGTTAGGAGCATTTCTTGAGGAATCATGATCAACCCTTGATCAAATGATGGATGTTACTTAAAAATGTTGATGTTGACCAAAAATATTGAAGTTTGACTGTATTTGGGCCATCGTTGACTTTTGGCCTAGTACAATTGATTTTAAGGCATTTGAGCAGTTGTCTGAGCAAACTTGTTGTGCAAGGCATGAAACTTGGAATGGATGATCTTGAGGATATATTAGGACAATGGAGACCATTTGTGACCCTTTGAACTCAACCATCTTGATGAGGAATGAAACCCTAGTTTGAGGCTTATTATCTTAGGAGGAGGATTTGTCTGGTCAATTCTTGGTCATCCTAGGGCAGGTTGGGGATTTCAATGGGCATGTCTTGAGTGAAATGGGAGGGAAAATTTTGGGGTACAACAACTGCCCTTGTTCAATCTTCTTAATCCTGAGGATGTAGATTGGCTGGTCAGCCTTTCGTGATCTGAAGGTGGAAGATGATTGGACACTAGAGTGCCCAGAAATTTGCACTCGTCTGAAATGATACTTGATTGTGTAGGTAATATCGGGAATGGGCTTATAGATGCAATTTGGAGAAGATGACAGAAGATTTCCAGAGATGGGCTTAAAGATGCCATCCAGAAGATATGACAGGGAGTCGTCGAAGATGGGCTTAAAGATGCCATCCAGAACAATGATGATTTCGTGAGATATTCCTTTGTGGGAATTCCTGTTCCTGTTGTTAGGGAGGAATCCGTTGAGGAATGTTGGTCTCTGTCTTGGGGAATATAGTCTAGGAGATTCAGTTGTCCGTTACTCTATTGGGGTGTTATCTCTTGATTGAAGAGATGGAAGTGAACTGCTATCTGGTCAGGATCCAGGCTTCATAGTGACTTGTTGAGGATAATAAGGTTGACTACTATCTAGTCATGCTCCAGGCTTCACAGTGACTTACTAGGGAAATGATATTAAACTGTTATCTGGCTGTACTCCAGGCTTCACAGTATCTTGAATTGTTGATTGACTATTATCCTGTCAGTTTCTGGGCTTCATAGCTTCTTTAACTGGAATAGAAATCTTAATATCGATTTGACTGAACCAGAGAAAGGTCTCAAGTTGTCTTCAATTGGGATAGAAATCTTATTATCGATTTGACTAAACCCAGGAAAGGCCTTGAATTAACTTTGACTGGCATAGTAATCAAAAGGATCTTAGTAGCGATTCAACTGACCCAGACGAAAGTCTTGGTACAATTTCCACTGGCATAGTAATCAGAGAGATCTTAGTGTCGACCTGTCTTACCCATGGAAAATCTTAGGTTAACTTTGACTGGCATAGTAATCAAGAAAATCTTAGTAGCGACTCAACTGACCGAGAAGAAAGTCTTTGAATATCTTCTACTGGCATAGTAATCAGAGAGATCTTAGTGTCGATCTGGCTGATCCAGAGAAAATCTTAGATTAACTTTGATTGGCATAGTAATCAGGAAAATCCTAGTAGCGATTCAACTAACCCAGACGAAAGTTTTGGTACAGCTTCCACTGGCATAATAACCAGAGAGATCTTAGTGTCGACCTGTCTGACCCAGGGAAAATCTTGGGTTAACTTTGACTGGCATCATAATCAGGAGAATCTTAGTATCGATACAACTGACCCATACGAAAGTCTTGGAACCTCTTCCACTGGAATGGTAATCAGAGAGATCTTAGTGTCGACCTATCTGACCCAGGTAAAATCTCGTGAGGATATCTTTCTGAGGAAAATCTTGGAATAGCCCTTTGTTAGACGTAGCTTGTTGATTTTATCTTTTCCCTAAAAGGTAAAGATTTAATCGTATGCAATGTCATGATGTATGAAATGCGTCGTGATGATATTCTCA